GATTGAATAATGAATTGAAAACATTTTTGTAAACAATAATATTGGGTTTTATTTATGCTTGAAAAGTTTAAATTTGGCGTAAAATTTTTGGATGTTACATGTTAAATAGTGATTCTATGCGAAGCTACAGACGAAGACAGAAGCGCAACCAAGAAGTAGATCTTCGGGCGAAGTTAAGAAGTGTCATTGAAAACTTGGTAGAAAAGCCAATCATCGAAGCAGACCCAGATTCTAAACTTTGTTTTGGCCTAGTAACTTGTGGAGCAAGTCTTCCATCATAGGTCAACTTATGTCATTGATGTCATAGATCTACGAGCCCCGGTCTAGAAGTAAGTAATTAGGTCAAACGTTGAATATAAATTGATCTCCCAATATGGTTGTAATCTTAATGCCAAAAGTATGTGTATCATTGATTATTAAAAAATCTCTAGTTTATGTATGGACATAGCTTGATTACTTTGTCAAATGAACCACGTTAAACCCTTTTGTTATTATTGTTCCCCACATATTTGTTATTGTGTTTATGACTGTTTATCGAAGTTCTTAATGATAACAATAATGATTGATCTATTGGTGGCTATCATTTTCGATGTTTTTTTTTCTACTGCATACCATTCCCAAACCTTGTAATAATGACCCTTGAAGAGTCATATTTTTATACACAGAACATTTTGGCCTATTTGTGTAGATTGTACTAGGAAGGAACAATGTCAAACGATGAGAGTGAAAAATATTTCAAGTTTCTTAAGGATGAAGTTGAAGAGTGATAACTCTTCAATGGGTAGAGAAAGATGATAGAGAAAATTCTAGTCGTGTGCTAAGGTGCATTTTTAAGCATATTGAAAAATATCTTACGTTTAACTTGAACATAATCTTTTATAACATTATCAAACAACTCTAACATCGCCTTCAATAATTCATCAAGATATTCTCACATGTTATCATAAATTCTTAACCAATAGTTTTTAGTTTCTCATATTTGATGTATTTAATGACAATATTCACTTTTTCCTTTTTGTTGTCTTGACCAAATCCTACCAAACTTTTTCCTTATATTGGCTCGTAATTAATTTTGTGGAAGGTTCTTATGATGGTCTTTTCTCGGTTGTTAAGTTTTTTCCGTTTTGTTTCAAAAAATAACATTCTAATTAAAAACATAATGAATTCAATGATGCAAGTAATTTGTGGCGACATGGGGGCGAAAAAAGGAAAGAGAGAGATGGATCGTCATTAGGTAGCCAAGAGAGACGTGCATGATTCCTTCACGACCTTATAACACAAGACATTCCCTAAATAGTGAACTACATATTTAAATGGGATATATACACTAAAGTCCCAATATTTTCATCGATTTCACAAAAAGTCCTAAACTTTATTTTTTTGACAGTAAAGTCCTAATTACCGGCAATTTTTGACACTTTTACCCTTTTTTTTCCGGTTAGCCGGTAATTAGGACTTTTTTTTGTCAAAAGTATAAAGTTTAGGACTTTCTTGTCAAATCGTGAATTAGGACTTTACTGTCAACAAAATAAAGTTTAAGACTTTCAAGTCAAATCATTGAAAATATTAGGACTTTAGTGTATATATCCTTTTTTTTGGTTAGAAATTTAATGGTATGATACTCTTTAAGCATAAGAGTTATTGAAACATTCTCTAGTCACCTAGATCCTATTGAAATCCTTAACGCTTGCTTCTTGTTAAATAGTTTTTTTAATCTCAACAAACCGAAAAAAACAAAATTGCCCTTCATACCCCTTCTCCACATTCACACCCTTTTGACTAGGCATGTGTTGTTTGTGTTTTAATCTATCCCCACTTTTTAGTTCAAGATTTGGCGTGGAACCTAGGAGAAAGTTTTACAAGTCTTTTCACCCTTTCTCGCTCTCTCTTTTGCATATGTTTCTACTGATCGTGATTGTATTAGGTTAAAGATGATGATGGTAAGAAAAATAGTGGTGCTGCTACAAAAGTCACAATTAAAAGTTCTTGGATTACGAAAATACACTAAAGTCCTAATATTTTCAACGATTTGACAAGAAAGTCTTAAACTTTATTTTTTTTACAGTAAAGTCCTAATTCACGATTTGACAAGAAAGTCCTAAACTTTATATTTTTGACAAAAAAGTCATAATTACCGGCTAACCGGAAAAAGGGTAAAAATGTCAAAAACTGCCGGTAATTAGGACATTTTACTATCAAAAAAATAAAGTTTAGAACTTTCTTGTCAAATCGATAAAAATATTGGGACTTTAGTGTATATATCACTATTCAAATTTCACAATGCTATTCTTTTTGTTGCTCTCAACTTTTTATGCTTATGATTTACATTGGTTAACAACCAAAAAGTAAGGTATACATTTTGTAACATATTTTTTTCCCCATAAATAGACTTCTTCGATATTTGTTTTGTTCGAAAAATAGCCTTTCTAAAACATAATGAATTCAATGATATATATATAACTATATAAGTACTTAACGAAGCCTAACTTTTTAAAATCTTATGATGAATAATAGACATGCAAGATTCATTTTTGACCTTGTAAGACATTCCTTACCAAACAACTAAGAAATCATATTTCAAAATCGTAATCTTTTTATAGCTCTTGACTTTTGATGGTTATGATTTACATCGGTCGACAACGGAAAAGTAAGGTAATAACTAATTCATCGGGCCAACTCGTATTCCAGCTCATTTATCTTGCATGAAACAAGTAAATTTCCTTTATTTTCCTAAAAAGCAATAATCAACATTTGCTATATCGGAGACAAGATATTATAGTGATAACCTAAAGCATTCTCTAGGCGATCCAAGACCTGAGGAGTTTTACGACCGTTATTTTCACTGTCTTTCCATATTTCACCAAAGTGCAGAGACAATCTATTTTCTTTTCATTACGTCTAATATTTTTAGTTTTTTTTATAACCAAACAAGATCACAAGATGCTTGCTATTTTGTTGCTCGTCATCACACATTTGCATGTAATATAGTAACCCTTATAGGCCATATGCAAACAAACATATGCTACATCAAGATATTCTTCTACCTATATAAATAAAACTTACTTTTCATTTAATAACCAACTCAATTAAAAATCTCAATTTCATGAAACCCTATTAATTAAATGTGATTGTTGTTTGAAGGTCTCTTAATGACCCTTATATAAATCATGATTATAATTTGTTGAACATAACTTATAAAAGTTACAAGTTCAAAGTTGAAAGCTCATTTTCCACCCATACATAATTCCTTTGTTCCTTCTCACGTGCAATTCACATGAGCAACACCAACTACATATGTCCAACGGCTACTTGGGACTTGCCAGGCTCCCATTTCCAGCTTCTCTTAGACAATTGACCGTTGTAATATTTTACTAACTATTCCATATATAACCCCCAATGAGACCGTTATCATTTTATTTTTTCACCCCCGAAAGAGAAGCCGGATTTTTGCTTTTTCTTCGATCAAATCCATCGGCAGTCTCAATCAGTAGCATAAGATCTCTTTTAGGATCTCGAATCCAAAAACCCATAAGTTATTTTTTACCAAAAAGATGGATTCGAATCAGAGAAGAAAGAGCGGGATCAATCTCCCGGCTGGGATGTCGGAGACATCTCTACGCCTCAACACCGGCGCCGGATCTCCATCTCCTCTCATCAGAGCCCTATCGTCTCCGTCGCCTCGAATAATGTCGCCACGAACCATATCCAATTTGACATCGTCGCCGTCGTCCAAATCCGCCGGAGCCTGCAGTGATCGGTTCATACCGTGTCGATCTTCTTCCAGGCTTCACACATTCGGGTTACTGGATAAACCATCGCCGGTGAAAGAAGGCGGAGGAGCGAACAATGAGGCGTATACAAGGTTATTAAGATGTGAATTATTTGGCCCTGATTTTGGTTTTTCTTCTCCTGCAGGTGGGACTAAAGGTTCGGGTTCGTATTCGTCGCCGGCGAGCAGTCCCAGCAAGAACATGTTGCGGTTCAAGACGGATAGTTCGGGCCAAAATTCGCCGTATTCGGGTTCAATACTGGGTCAAGACAACGGGTCGAGTTCGGAGTCTGCAACTCCACCCAAACCCCCACGCAAGGTGCCAAAAACACCACACAAGGTAACAAACACTACAATCATTAAAGCCCTAATTTTGACTTTTTCTGTATTCAGTTAAACAACAATCAATGTTACTCCATTTCTATAACCCCTTTTGGGTTTTCTCTTAAATGATGCACTTGTGCCTTTATACGTTCCAAATCTTATGAAATTAACCAATTTTGTACTTTTCTTTAACGATTAGGTTTTGGATGCACCATCGCTTCAAGATGACTTCTACTTGAACCTTGTGGATTGGTCTTCACAGAATGTGCTTGCAGTTGGACTCGGAAGCTGTGTTTATTTATGGACTGCTACAACCAGCAAAGTGGGTTTTGGGTTTTATCAAATCAATTTGGTATCAAACTAAAAATATGTTAAATTTTCTTACTTTGTCATTGTTTTTGATGTTTTCAGGTGACAAAGTTGTGTGATTTGGGGCCTAACGATGGTGTATGCTCTGTTCAATGGACTCGAGAGGGGTCTTATATATCTGTTGGCACTAGTCTTGGAAAAGTTCAGGTACCCATTTGTTTAAATTTACCAATTTTGCTTGTTTTTTTTTTATTTAAATTGTGAAATAAGTATCATATTGAAGTTTTGAACCTTGTTTTGACTTTAATAGGTTTGGGATGGGACCCAGTGCAAAAAGGTTCGAACCATGGGTGGACACCAAACAAGAACAGGTGTGTTAGCATGGAGCTCACGAATATTGTCTTCAGGAAGTAGAGATCGTAATATACTTCAACATGATCTTCGTGTCCCAAGTGACTACATTAGCAAGCTTGTTGGCCATAAATCAGAGGTAAACAAGAAAATATTGATTAATAAATCTTTAAAACATTAGATTCCCTTCATTTATGCCACTTTCCAAATATCTGAAAAAAGGATTTAACGCAAAAAAGTAGAAACCCACCTTCATATATTTGTTTACAGCACTGTAATTTAAAAAATCTATATAATTTTAAAAAGCAACAGAGTACCTAATAATTTTTTTTTCATACACAACAATTTGTGCTTTAAAATGTTGTATTGTACAACTCTATAAAGCATAAATTGATATGTGCTTTAAAATGTTGTATTGTACAACTCTATAAAGCATAAATTGATGTGAATGGAGAATCACTTCCCATTTGAAAAACCTTCCTTCATATAAATATGTCACATCATTGTAATATGAAAATAAATAATTTCTTCAGGTATGTGGGCTTAAATGGTCTCATGATGATAGAGAACTAGCATCGGGTGGAAATGACAACCAACTTTTGGTGTGGAATCAGCACTCAACACAGCCACTCCTTAAACTGACAGAACACACCGCTGCGGTGAAGGCAATCGCGTGGTCGCCTCACCAGAGCAACCTCCTGGTCTCCGGTGGCGGCACCGCCGACCGGTGCATCCGTTTCTGGAACACCGCCAATGGCAGCCAACTCAACCATGTTGACACTGGTAGCCAAGTGTGTAATTTAGCATGGAGCAAGAATGTGAATGAACTTGTTAGCACTCATGGGTATTCCCAAAATCAGATTATGGTGTGGAAATATCCCACATTGGCTAAGGTATTGCATAATTTTTTTAAGTAAGTTATATTTTGGTCCTCGAGTATAGCTGGTTTTTGCAAATTTGGGACTCCTTTGAGGTTCTTGTTATGTTTTTTGGACCAAAATTGCAAAAATTAGCTACACTTGTGGACCAAAAATAGTCATGTTACTTGGAACAAGAAAAAAAAGACCTTACAAAAACTCAAATAAGGACCAAAATTGCAAAAATTTTATATACTCGGGGACCAAATACATAAATTACTCTTAACTGGTTTTAGGGTGAGTTGCATTTTTGGTCCCAAAAAGTTTTCTTTTGCAATTTTTTTAATCCTTATTTGAGGTTTTTTTCCCCATATAAGTTAAAGAAGGAAGTATAACTGACTTTTGCAAATTTGATCCAAGAAGGACAAAAAAAAAAAAAAACGTTACAAAAATCTCAAATAAGGATCAAAAGGGCAAAAGAATTTTTTTTGGGACAAAAGTTGCAAAAAATAGCCATATTCAGGGACCAAAATGTAACTTTAAGGAGGATAAGATTTGTTAACATCTGGTGGTATTTTATGATTATTAATTTATTTAAACAATTTTGATGAATTTTTAGGTTGCGACTCTAACGGGACATAGTATGAGAGTATTGTATCTAGCAATGTCACCGGATGGTCAAACAATTGTGACGGGTGCAGGAGATGAGACTTTGAGATTTTGGAATGTCTTCCCATCTGTTAAATCTCAGGTTGATATTTCTTAAATTACATTGCTATTCTTGGTCAAAAAGTCAAAAGTCAAAAGTATGTTACCGATATTCAGATTATAAATATTGCTGTTTTTTTTTTTTTTTTTTTTTTTTTTTTTTTTTTTTTTTTTTGTAGGCACCTGTGAGGGACTCTGGACTGTGGTCATTGGGAAGAACTCAAATCAGATAATGATGATACAGAAGAAGATGACGGATTGTAAATTATGGTTTTATCAAAATAGTAGAAAAATATACATGCATATAATACATGCACATACTAAGTTTTCATTTGATGATAGGGTTTTTGGGTCTATATTGGCTATAACAATTATTTTTTAGTGCCTTTGAGATAAATATCATTAAATATTTCAGTTTTTAATTATTCCCATGCTCTTTAAGACCATCTAAAACAGTCATATGTTTATTTTGTCCTATCAATAAGAAAAACCCCTTCATTTTTTTTTTTGAATTTTTATGGTTTCACCATTTTTATAAATTATTCCCCGTTTTACTTTATAATATCATGAAACTTTTTAATTTTACATTTTCTTCACCGATTTATCGGTTTTCATATAGTGAAACTTGCAAGAAAGACCTTGAGAGTTTTTATCGTTTTATTTTATATTTTTCATGCAACTTTTTAATTTTACAATTTTTTTTACTTTTTTTCCCACCGGTTTCTTCGTTTTCGTAAACTTGCAAGAAAGATCTTAAGAGTTTTTATGGTTTTACCCCATAATTTTCATGCAAGTTGTTAATTTTCCTTATAACTAAGGAACAGAGCGATATTTCTGTAATTAATGCGAAGCTTCTTTATTTACAAAAATGTATAATTAACGTTACATTAATTACATTTTTGTTAATTTTCCTTACTTTAACTCTTATATTACTTTCATTACATTTTATGGTTTATTATTTCAATCTTCTATTGAAAATTTATAAGTCAGATTCTTGAAATAATAAACCATAAAACAATTGCCGAAATTGAACAACCAAATAACCTAAGGATTCCCAAAGGTTATGCATATTCAGAACCAAAATAAGAATAAACATACATATAATCCCATATACCTCCTTTAAGGATAATTTAAGGTTCAGTTTGATCAAAGCACATCAAAGAATGAAATTTCAAGCGGATGAGCATCAAAAATATGAAAACTTTGAAACCAAAGATCAAGTCTCTTCGCAAACATCACAATCAAAAGTTGTCCACAAGATTTTAGGGTTCTTCAAAGTGTGTTGCTTGTAAGGCACAATGCTAATGGAAACAAATAAATTGTCATTAAATGGAAGGATTTACCCTTATTCGAGGCTACGTGAGTATTGATGCTAGGCCACCTGTCTTGTTTACTTACGCTAAAAGGAATAACGGAGGGGTAGCTTAGTCTTTTTGCTGCTTTAGTCGGTTAAGATGTCCAAAGTTAGTTAGAAAGGTGGGGAGAACTATAAAAAACAGAGTGAAGTGTTGGTGGTTCATTATGGAAATTTGTAACAAAGAATTGGAGAAAATCATGCAATAACACTTAATTCAGTTCTTTGTACACAATTTCTCTATTTTCAATTTTCAAAATTTTATTCTAGTCTATCAGTGTTCTCTTCCTTCTCCACTCTGTTATCTATGTATTTTATAACATAGTCTATTTGATTGTTGTTACCTATTTCATTACATTGTGAAATTCATAATTTACAGGAAGAGTTATAGTTATCAAGCATCTGCTTGAAGCCTTGGTTGGTTTGTTAAGTCATCATAAAGGAAACCATTTTTCAACTAATAATTGTGATAAAGAAAAGTTGAATTTTATTTCTTGTTTCCTTTCCACATAAAGCAACAATGTACAATACTCTCCTCAATATTTCCTTATCTTTTATCTAGGATATCTCCAAGTCTCTATTCAATCTATACATGCTATTATAGCAAATCCAATTGTAATTACATTTTTTCTTTTCGCTATCAAACCATTAGTTGACAAAACAAAAAAATGGATTAAAATCACTGCGTAAAATTGAACTTAAAGCCAATGATAGAAAACCTCTGGTTTCTTTCTTGTTTGCTATTTAACTGTGTCTGGGTCGTCTTCATCCCTCTCCATCACTATCATGATTGGGGAATTGTTTACAGATGGTGACGCCATTGATCTCTGACCCTCATCAAGAACAGTATTAGGCTGAATCCCGGAGTTTTTCTTCAGAGATTCGATCTTGTTTTTAACACAACTGATTTTAGCCTCCATGGCTGATGCTAATTCACGTAATTCCATTTCGGAGAGATTGTCCAGAAAATCAAACCAAGTTGGAAATTTTTCTTCAATGTTGTTGTTCTTGGCGTTAGGGAGTTCTTTCTCCATCTTGATCTTTGTGACATTAAAGTAATCTGACAAACCATAACAACGATTTTTCTCAGGTGCAATACTGCGATTTTGAACATAACGATTGACCAAACGGTTGAATTTATCAGCATCGGGAGAGAAGATCTCTGGTTGTTGATGGTCATCAGCACAAATGATCATGGAGATATCGACATCACAGAGGGTTGCGAGTTCGTTAGCTTTCTTTATGATGCCCTGTTTTCGTGTTTGAAATGTGAGATTGCGTTTCTTCACGTCGTTGATGAATTCCATGGGAACCTTCGGTGGAGCCATTGGCCCATTGCTTTGAATCTTTCGATAACAACACGATGCATACATCAATTAAACAGAAGGATGTAGCAATAATCCAGTCATCATAATAACTGTTTAAAACAGAGAGAGAGAGAGAGAGAGAGAGAGAGAGTACCAGTAAGTTTGACCTCGATGAAGAAGAAAACTAGAGAGATTAGCACGAAGGAATGCAATTAATTCAAATATTGATTATTCAAAATGAAAACGGTTGGTTTATACAGTTGGGAGAACTAGTAATTAAAATTAAACGAGATGAACTATTTTTTAAATATAAAATATTTTCCGTATCAATAATTAAAATTAATCTAATCATATCAAGAGTGCTATTTTCTTTTGATTAAAGATAGAGTTTTATGTAGACAAGTTCCATTACTTTGGGATTTTTTTTATAAAGTCATAAATTTTTTTTTTAATAAAAAGTCTCAATTATTTGATATATTGTCCAAATTAACGAAAAAATTCTTTCTATTTTAACACTAAATAACAAATTATTGTGTAAAATTCAATATTTGAGTATTTTCTGTTAAAAAAACAATTAAGACTTTATCAAAAAATTCCAAAATAGTGAGACTTTTTGCATAAAACCCTTAAAGATACTTGTAAATTTTTCCGTGTCTATGACTCGTCGTGGATTATTTTCTTAACAAAAAAAGTTATTATAATTGGCATCCACAATTCACCACATCATCCACTAAATATCTATACAACATCACCTACAACCCATTAAACACCTATTCAACCCTAATCGCCATTTTATTCCTTTTATTGAACCATTCAATAATCATGCAACTCTTTCATTCAACTCTACTTCATGTCATCACCCACACTCCAATCAACTCGTATTCAATCCTAGTCATCATCCTATCCAACTCTTATATTACTTGCATTGTTAGGCTCGTGCGAGCGGAGCGGGAAACGGACGCGGGGAAGGGAAACGCACATAACCACACAATACCGTCCTTACGGTTCACCGGGTGTGGGATTGGAGTGAGGGGAGGCTACCCGGCCCCTTTCTCTTCTTCTGATTGGTCAAATTTTTTTCTTCTGGGAAAAGGCCTCCCAAAGGCTATA